GGGTGGGGAAGGGGAGAACATTCTTCCAGCCCCTCCTAACGTAGTGTCTTAAAGAGACGGTGATTTGATTGCGATGATTTTCGTTTTACAGGAAGGAGTGAACAAGGCGTATGAGCACAGCCTGAAGGATTTCAAATGTCAACAGGACAGTAATGCAAATATTGTTCAAAAATCACACTCTTCTGCTCATCACGGGAAGCTGGGAGTATGTCTTCTTTCGCTTGAAATGACTGACCAACGAAGCAATTCGAATGTTTTTCTAGCCCGTTTGTTGCATTTTTCTCGAAAAAATTACGTCTTTTTGCAGGAGGGTTTTCCTTCGAACTATTGCAAAATTCCGGAAACTTATCGGTCCCTTCCCTCGAGCATTATCACTCGGCACTCCTGTTCTGGAGCACTTGTTTTCAGTTACTGTTTCTCTGAGGAATGCTCAAATGGTCATTTCTGTTCACACTAACTTCAGTGATACGTAACATTCAAGATAGTAATGCAAATGTGTTCCCAGCGAATTTAAATTTTTTCTGTTTTTTTTTTTATGATAGCAATAATGTTTCGTACCTAGCATCCTTCCACCGAACAAGTAAACTGCGCACTCAAAAATTTGAACACAAAATGAAAATCTTTGAGATTTACTAAATCCAGGATGAGGATAAAATTTAGGAATTCTCTCTACAAAAAAGTGAGCATCTGCCCTGTCCCCCTCGCTCTGTTATACATTGAAACTAAAAATTTTTAAATGAGCGGTAGATGAATCAGTTGCAGGACGACCGAATTCAGCTTCCAGAACGACCTATAACATTCTGCATCACACTGCTCGAGCTTTCTAAAAGAACTGTTTAGACGAACATCAATCTTCGTGCGGCGTTCATCCACGTGGTCGGTGATCTGCTCCAGTCGTTGGGTGTACTTGCTGCCGCAATCATAATCAAAATTACCGGATATCGTCTCGCCGACCCGCTTTGTACATTCCTCTTCTCAGCACTCGTCCTGGTACGCTGCCGCTTCTTCATTTTGCGTCAACCGGTCGCAGCAATTTGTCGCTCATTTCAGTTGACGACATTTTCGGTTGTGCGTGATTCCGTGTTCATCCTGATGGAAGCATCACCGAAACACATCAACGTGGACGGCCTCTACACCGATCTCTGCGCTATTGAAGGTCTTTT